ACAATTGGCTCTGTGTGTGTGTGTGTATGTGTGTGTGTGTGTGACAGACCCTGTGGCATTCCTGAAATGCAATATTTGCAAGACGTCTTAACTCTAACGCTATACATGGAACGTGCACCTCAGGACGTGCGTGGACCTCTGTTGTTTCGAGGAAAAGATTTCAAAGATGGAAAGTATATTCACGTCTATCATCACGATGAATATTTCTATGCCATTACCAGTTTCGCTCCATTCCTGATTGCAGTTATTCTGTGACAAATGTGACTATAGATATAACAATATAGAACAACACAAGCATTGTAGATGGAAATATGAGAGTTGTTTAGCCTCTCAACCCTGTCCTGACGAAGGACTACAACGGGTGCAATGCTCAGCTTGTCAACTTGAAAATTTGTTGGTTTAGGCTCGAATAGGTTCATTAATTGTTGAACAATTTGGGTTAAATCGTCAAAAATAGTTGGTCTTGCCTATATATCTGGGTTCTTATGATATGCTTGATGGAATGCAGCAGACGAAGTACAAACAAAATTACATTATATCCATTTCAAATGTACTGAATTACATTTATTTTACTGATTTTATACATGTGTATATATACTATGCATTTTCTTTTTGACGATTCATAAACCTACGTATCAGGAAATTAAAAGAATTTCCGTTAAAAGATGACAAGGAAATCTGATCAAAATTCAACGCTGAGATCAGTTTTCAACGACCGTGAAATCAAAATTCAGCGTCAAGAACTAAACCTGGTCAACTTTCAACGTTGAAAGCAGACCCGGCGGGGTCAGAATTGATTACGTATTTTCATACTGATACGTAGGACTCTTACATATGTAGCTTGTCAGCTAGGTAAGGTTCATGTTCGTACCCAGTTTTTTTGTCCTGGGATTCAACGTAATGGATACCAATTGCTACTTACACACACCATTTCAATCAGGGATTAAATGCCATATGATTAGGATCTCTCCTACCAGCAGCGTAAGCCGATAGGTCTATATATAACAATAATCTCGTAGCTCTTCATCTTGAAACAACATAAATGGTTCAAAAAGAATTCACAAATTAAGAAGATTTGAAAGAGTGGAAATGCCTTAGATATACATAGCAAGTCCTTTTTTAGGATTTGTGTAGCTTTTCCTCCAATCTGGCTAATGAAGTCAACGACGCATATCTGGAGCAATATTAGGATGATTTTTGGGACGATTTTGATGACTTAAGATTCTCTAGCAAAGCAATAAGGAAAACTAAATGTTCTAAATATGTTGGCGGTAAAGACCTATATATGCAGATGTGACGCCGTTTATACATCCACATATTTTAATTCCATATGCTAATATAATTTATGAGCTAATGCCAGTTCAACGGTAATAACTGATTAGAGAGAATACCTGTGATCGTTTGGGTGGCTAATAGTGAGAAACATTTTAAACGCATTTCCGTGCATCTGATCACGATGGGATAAAAATAGAACTTAAAGACCAAGAAAATGATTCACATGTGCAAAAAAACCCATCCTTTTGGGACTCGAACCCACGACCTCTGGATTAGAAGTCCAGCGCGCTTCCCATTGCGCTACAGGGAAAACATACTTTTTACTTTTTCAATAAATTTTGTATTTCTTGTCATACACATATAAACAAAATTTTATGCTGAATTTGTGTAGCTTTCGTTCCGATTTGTGTTACTATATTAACGCATGTCTCGAGCAACATTTAGGCCTATTATTGCAAAGATTTTCATGACTTAATGATTCACCTACAAAGCCTGAAGAACAAAGAAATATTTTAACAAAGTTGACTCTAGAGACATATAGGTTCGTTGTACCCTATTTAGCACTTACTGGTTCAAATTCTATTGGCGCATATAATTCAGGGTTTAATTAGCCCATGCTTATTTAAAAGTAATAAAGTATCATAATGAATACGTATGATCTATTTGCTTACCAGTAACGAATATTTTAAATACATTTTTATGCATTGAATAACGGGGAACTAAAATGAGTTAAGAAACATAACAAGCCATTATTCATATAGTGACATGTGAAAAATAATTCAACCCTGTCTGGATGCGAACCAAAGACCTTTAGAAATCGTTCTCGATGCATTGTCATAGAGCAGAGAGAAATCGCCAGCGTCCTTATGCCGATGAATGGTTAGGTGTTTTTTCACAACTAACAATTTGTAGGACAAGGACAACACCTTTACATTATTTTTGTAATAATCAGAAATGACTTCGTAACATCATGCAATGCAAAGGTTTCATGGCAACTTCTCAGTTGACATTATAAACAATTCTGCTACTGCACCGATCGTTTAATCTTGGAGTCAGCCTCATCTTGAGTTGCTTTTTGGGTTATGTGTTGGATCGAAAGTTTGGCCAAAAAAGGGATTGGTAGAGGACAAGAATACGAAATATATATTCCCGTTACAACAGGCGTTTCTACGAGTATGCTGCAAACGAAACATTTATGTTGTGGTTGCGTGTCTACAGAAATGAAAGCGCAACCTACATGGTTGTTTGTATGTCCAAAACAAGGTATCCAAATGGACTTCAGACCGTCCTTCTACTCCATTCTGTATGCGATTTTATTCTGTAAAATTGGTAATCCTGGTCATATTCAAATGTATTCTTATATGTATTGATATTTTAAATAAAATTATGGCAATACATGAATAATTTTACATTTTCTTTATTCGTGGTTACCTAAAGAGACACAAACTATTCACATATGATATTAATATCAATCTCAATGAATACATGTCTAAAAGTCTCTACATATATTATTCCCACGTCTACTAGGTGTGCCTTGGTCATCTTCAACCCTGGATTATTCCGACCTCTTATAGCTGTGGTCTTTCCCCTTGACTCATTGGGTTCCTTGGCTTATCCCTGCCACCACTCTCTCTCTCTCTCTCTCTCTCTCTCTCTCTCTCTCTCTCTCTCTCTCTCTCTCTCTCTCTCTCTCTCTCTCTCTCTCTCTCTCTCTCTCTCTCTCTCTCTCTCATTTAGTTTGAAGAGCCTTCCTTAATACCATTTCCTTCCAAACAAGGTGCCCTAGCCTATAGCCAGTCCTTGTTTTACAACAGTTTCTGACCTTTTTCTACGAGTTCTCGTATAACGAAGGAACACTACTCTCTAGGCTTCTCCGGAGTCGGACTTAGCCTTCTTTCAAGAAAAATCGGACTAAAGAGGTTTGGCAACTGGTAGCCCTAAATTGTTTCCTAACGTGTACGTCCTTTATTTCCCTGGCCAATCAGACATAATTATTTATAAAATTTCTCTTCAAATAATCATGTCTATCACAGACTTCGCTAGCCTAAAATATGCTGCAATTAGCTTCCTTTGAAAAAATCAGTTATTTGACGTGCACCTCTTTTGAACAGTTATGGTTGAGTTTGAGTTTCTATTTCGCGCTTGCCACCGAACTAATAAGATGACCCGGTCGAATGCTACTGAGGCTTAACTTAACCACTTTTATGTGTTCAGAGATGAAATAAAGATAAAATCAGTGAATTTTCTCAAGACCTTTCTGGCCGGACTTTAAAGCAGTCTTTAAAATTGGACAGATAACATAGCCCCCCTTTTAAGAGCAAAATCTGGGATTATGCTCTCCAACTTATGAAATTGCAAATCAAGATATTGTTTACATGTCTTGAAGTGACTTCTTCATCTCTTTATCAACAAATCTTCTCCTACAGATTGTTCACACATTAGCACTTCCCTTAATGTACCACAATTCAATTTAATATTGTTGAATAAATAACGACCATCTCATTAAAAACCATTAGTTAATTTAGCTTGGGCCATAAAATCAAGGTACTGGTGGTCAGTTTCAAGAATAAACTTTCGCCCATATATGAAGCGCTGAAAGTTAGAGATTCGAAAGATAATCGCTAGGCGTCCCCTTTCGGTAACCGAATAATTAAGCTCATTGGGACATAACGTTGTACACCCAGAAAATAAGTTCCCATCATGCTCCTGCAGTAAAACTGCATCAAGACCACTGTCTGAAGCGTATGTACGTAAAACAAAGTCCTTTGTAACGTCCGGTGATCTAACGGCGTCTGATGTCAACCTATCTTTTTAATGTCTAAAATGTCCTCTCACAAGCGTCAGTATAAATTACTTTAGTCGGAGCCATCTTCCTTTATAAATCGATCAATGGACTTGCAATAACACAGATACTAGGCCGAGTTTCCTCTGACCCTTGACACCCCATATTTGATATCTGGCTTTTATGTTGGGGTGTAGGGTCAGAGTCCATTCCCGATCAAAAACTTGGATTTTGCCGACACCAATTGGTGTCGGCATTGGGTACTCGCCAACTATCAGGCCTAGCAAACTTAAATGACCTTGCATTGACCCATACTTACATTAAATCGATAGGGAAATCATTTATCTTCTAAGAAATAACAACTATAACACCGATTTTATCTTTAATCCGTTGTAAGACGAGACGAAACTACAGCGTTGATGAATTTTGACATTTTTCGCACCATTTTCATTGGTAGTCACATGACTAACTAAATCTCGCGGCCGAGATGCATAAACGTCATAGGTCAAATAGTCACGTGATAACAACAAAGTGCGTTGAAATATATTTTCTGTGGTGATCAGTCAGCCTCTTTCCAGGAAGGTGCGGCAGCGAAATGTTTCGGGCTGCTCTTATCCCAATCAATATGTTGAATAATACGTGGTTCTTTTTCTTGTTTTTGTAGACATTGCTTGACTTTCATTCAAAATTTCTAGTTTTTGTCTTCTTTTTTCAATACTGGAATGGAAGGTTTGGTGCATAAACCTTTATTGCAGCATGGCTGGTAAAGACGAATACACGGAAGCTCTTGCCAATGAGATACTTTTATGAAAAGGGATACTATTTTAACATTAAAGAACTACAGTATGATGTAATAAAATCAGTTATCAATGGAGGTTACGCATTCGCCGTCTTCCACAAGGGGTATGGGAAAACGCAGTTTTTGTTGTTACCACGTGACTATTTGACCTGTGACGTTTATGAACCCGCAGCCTCTGGATTAGAAGTCCAGCGCGCTATCCACTGCGCTACAGGGACAAGATAGTATTGTTTCATCCAAAATAAAGAGCATTTCTTATTATATTCAGATAAAATTTTCATGCCGAATTTATGTAGCTTTCGTTCCGATCTGGGTTACAACATCAACGCATGTTATAGTAGAATAATTTATATTTTGAATTATATTAAAATTCAAGGGTTCAATGGCAGTCTACCGAAGGTAGCATAATACTGTAAAAAGAGACGTAATTTTTTGGCAAACGTTGCAGACATTTTACTTTATTATACACTCCTAAAAAAGAAACAGATGAGTATCTCAAAAGTTATTTCAGTCAGAGCCTAATAAGGCATGCTAATTATCGTTTAATAAGGATGCCTTAAGGCCTATATGACGATGACAGGTTTGTCTCATTTGATCATTAATTGATGGGGTGCAGAAGAATGGTGTCATAGATGAGAAGTACGTTTTTATTCCTTCAAAGTGTCAATTGTAAAAAACCACCTAAACATTCGTCGGCATAAGGACGCCGCCGATTTCTCTCTACTTTGTAACAATGTACCGGCGCATATTTCCACCATCGAGAGAGATGTCCAGAAGAAGCTCATAATTAAAACTTTACCAGACACTCCATAAATCTTGGAATTCGTTCCTAATGATTTTGGTCTCACCACCGTTACGAAAAACTCTCTAAGGAGTAGACGATTTGAAAGTGGCCGAAGAGGCAATGAATGAAAAATTTCACCGGAAAGGTAGAAGTGCAGCTTTCCACTGCATGAACAAAATATCAAAAGTGAATACAAAATGGTATTGAATATTGGATGATCAGACTGAGAATGAGTGTAACCTTCTTGAATGCGTTACCTACCGATTTAACCTTGATTCATCCTATAATGATAGTTAACTATACATACAGAGAACCGTATTTATTGCCACGCCACAAGAATGTTAGAACAAATACTTACAACTAATCTGCAACATACCAAAGATTCAACGTCCAACTAAATATATACAAAATACACCCCTTCGTGTGTTCTAAAGTAGCTATGGCTAAAGACATATTGGCTGGTTGTACCTCGTTGACACACCCATATGTTTTAATTCCATTGGCAAGCATAAGTCAGGGCTTTGCTGGCTAATACAGTTTCAGAACTAATGAATGATTATATATAATACAAGTGATTTATTTAGCTAACATTTTAAGTGCATTTCTGTAAATCAGATACCGACGGGATAAAATAAGTTGAGAAGAACCAAAATACTCATTTAGTCACACGTGTAAAATCATTTATCACTGGTGGGATTGAAATCCGCGATCTTTGGAGTAGAAGTTCAGCACGCTGTCCACTGCGTGCCAAGGAGGTCACGAGTAAAACAATCAAAATGAAATAATCATTGACTTCGTGACATGCAATGGAAACGTTTCATGCCGACTTCTCACAGCTGACTTTACAAACAATTCTGCTATCTGCACCGATTGTTTAATCTTGGAGTCAGCCTCGTTTTAAGCTGTTTTTTAAAAATTGTTTGTTCTGTCGAAAGTTGTCAAAAAGAGGGACTGGTTGATGATAAGAATGCAAGCTCTTCTGACTCATGGCTTAAATATATAATTTTTTTCCGTCACTTCAAGTGTTTCTGCGATTATACTGCAAAACGAAAATTACTGTGGTGGTTGTAAATGGACTTGAGAGCGTCGTATCACTACAGGTTGTCTGAGGTTTCGTTCATTAAAATCACCATTTTTAGTCATATTCAAAATCTAGTGATTTAGTTGTCAATATAGTTAATGAAATTATGGCAAATAATTAATAATTTCACATTTTCTATAATCGTGGCTTGCAAAAGATTAAAAATATATTCCGGCTAATTCATAAATATTATTGCAAACGACCTCTTGTCTAAGATTCTCTATATATCCGTCTACAAAATAGGAATGAGGCCCACGGTTAAGTGGATGTTGAGACAAATATAAGTTCTTTATCTTTGGATGCCGCAGCAAGATAAACTTAAATGGGTACTTGTCATAGTTATATTCATTAATATGGGCAAATGGGAAAGTTATGAATATTGATGTATGCATAGGTGAATATTGATATAACCAGCGTATTGTGGAATGTAAACAATAATTTCTTACTAACATACATTCATTGAAAGAAACAATATCAAGAATGGCATAAATTAATACAAACTGGGTGACATAATTCAAAGTTATGTTTTCTTACTTCATCAGTTTGAGAACTGAGGTATTCGCAGACGCAATTCTGTCATATTATTCACATGTTCAACTTATAAAATCCTATTCCTCAGAAGCATTACCTTTGTGTCTACACCACTGCATTCTTAATTATCCTTGAAAGCTTTCATTCGTAATCTCTGCAAAACTAAAAACTCTCTTTTTCTCACCGGTAAAAGTTGTTTGGATCAAAGGTTTCTACCAAACTTTTGTGACAATGAAAGACTCAATAATTTCATAAGTTGATTATTTACCTCGTTGTTTAAAATCTAAATATTACTCATCACAATAATATTTGAAAAGAGTCTTTAAACCCTTATTATCGGCACAATATTTTAATTGTTTCAACTAGAAAAAAATTAAACTTTTTTATATCAAACTTAGATTATAAATTTGTCATGTATGTATACAAATAATATTTTCCTAACAATCCAGACAATGAGAATAAAAACGTTTTTATTCCACACGAAATAATAAGGTAAAAGGTAGAGAAAAATAATTTTTTGAAACGATTGAGATGAACATTTGAAATATGGCGTTTAAAAACATCGAGAAAATCTAAAGTATACCTTCCATTTGTTGCACAAAAAGACTATAGATACATCTTTGTTTCTTTCTGGAACTATAGGTAACTGGTCTTCGCTCTTCATATTCATCCAATTTCATCCAATGAATCGTCTGACAACCATTTATTAGAGCATTCAATCTTGAGTCACAGGCATCATACTTCTGGAAAATTATAGAAGAATCAAGTATAGCAACTGCTATTAATGACTATAACCTAATTTAAACCTAGCAGATAGTCTGCACACACGTCCAGCTGCCTTTCCATCTTGCTAGACTGTGACACTGTCTTTATAATACCAATGAAGTCACTATATTTTCAAGTTTTTAATTCTTTATATTTCCTTTTATGACTTTTTAAAATGGGCTTTGGAATTGCGATGGTCAAATATATAGTGATTACATCCCTCTTGAATTTGTCAGATCAGCTCAATCTAATATTTTCTGTCAACTTCAAGAAATCTCAATAGAAGCTCTTTAGGAACCTTGTAATGCACCTAAACACACACACACACACACACACACACACACACACACACACCGAACTTGTATTCTTTGTCTTTATAAATAAACATGCTTACTGTATTAATAGAATTGACAGAAAAATCAGTATTGTCAGCGCACATCGTTATTAAATGGGATAACATGTACTTCCATACAATGATTACTAAAATATATCTGAAGAGTTGGTATTAATTGCTTGAATGTTTTAAACCTGTCAATAAATTCACGTTGATCAATGAACAAGGTAACATTTTATAATGAGATCTCCAGCTAATATAACATAGGACAATGATAGTAACTTAAAAATTGTCTGTGAACTACAGATTTGCTATAGAGTAAAAAGTACACTAAATTTCTGGCGCTTTTCGTATCCTCTGTCACTGATATTATGACCAACTTGGACCAATTGTATGTAATTTTCTGTCACATCATAAAATTTTGATGTCATGATAATGTTTTAAAGTTGGTCGTGAATCTGTGGAAGATGACCATCATTCTAGGAAAGACGTGTCTACAATTAGTGACCAGGAAATGGCTGATGTGAGGTATGGAACAGATTTAGATGCTGGAAGCGCAGTGGAAGATTTTCTACTATAACATGCATTAATTTGTCCCCTGATTTTACTCCAGTGATGATTCATCTGAAGATCAAAAATGTTTATAGCAGGATGGGTGCCTCATTTGTCAAGAGCTGATAAAAAAAACACAGACTCTGGCTGAAATCGCCAAAAAAGCTACTCGCCAGATATAAGAGTGATCAAATACGTTTGAATGAGATTGCCACACGTGATGAAATAAGGGTTTTAAACCCGAATAAAAGAATTAACGTTTGGATACCAGAAAACGATAACAGAACATGAATCGTTCAACGTGATCAGACTACTCTGCAGAGTTGTACACGCATTATTATTCTATTTAAAAAATCTATGTAGTCCAGGTGCATGCCTTTGACTGCTAGTATCAATGGACATTGTTATTCCTCCAAAGTGTTATCAGAAATTTGAAACACTACTTATCAACCAGTCTGTACATGAATGCCCACATTTTATATCTACTCCACAACAATTCAACAGTTTATTAATCCTGACGAAGCTCCAAATTCAAACGTCACAATATCCTTCTTACAATATCCATTTATTTCCATTTGATTTTTATTATTTTTTTTTCTGAACCTCGTTATACAAAATTTGCTTAGGGGTAAACGATTTGAAGGCCGCCATTCTCTTTGCAGTGCAGATATCTATTGTATGAACCAGGTGAACACACAATGGCATCGAACAGAGGGATAATCAGACAGATGACCTGTGTAGAGGAGCTTGGAGAGTAGATTTTGGGAGGCACAGATGTAAATTAATAATTAACACTGTTGTACAGCATACCAGTATTCAGAATGTTTTGACCAACACGTCTTTCGTGCAAGTTTCCTGGCATATTTGGGCTGGGGATCCATTGCACAATTCACTGTGATTCTTTGACAGTATATTTGATGAACAAGTTGGACCTACGAATCATATTCACAATATCACAGCTATTAAACTTTATCGTGTAAAATGTATTTGTGCACTGATATTTCACCCATACACCTGTGTCATGTGAACTATTATTTTAATAACCTTTCCTGACAAATCTGAAGAAGAAAAAAAAACTTGAGATAATAAAAGTTTCTTCAAAACTTCTGTCATTAACTTCGCAAAGAGGTTTCATTTACGCAAAATCTAAAGTAACGTTGCTGATAAGTTAA